CAGGGTCTCACTATGTAGCTCAGGCTGGCCTCAAATTTGCAGCAATTCACTTGCCTCAGCCTCAGTGCTCAGATTACAGGTGTGTACCACTATGCCTGGTCTTTTGACCAATTTCTTAAGCACTTTAGACAATAATCATACCAGTATTTGGCCATATTTCTTATATGTATTTTTCCCATTCTTTTTACCTGTAACCAATATTGCTTGTATTTTTTTTAACTTCCATAGGCTACAGTTTTTGTTTGAGACAAGGTTTATGTAGTTCAGTGTGTAGCCCAGTCCTCCTGCCTTAGCCTCCCAAGTGCTAGGAATACAGGTGTGGGTCATCATGCCTAGCCTAACTTTCTTTTCTTTATGCTGTCTACCGTGACTTCTAACCTTAGAAAACACTCTCCCAGCCAAAGAGTTAGTACACATCCAGTTCTAGTAATTTTTAGGTGCGATGTGACTGGAACACTTCCAGATCCTCCTTTATTTGCTTGGTGGGTGGCAAAAGGAAGGCCCAGCTCTGTTCCACACACTCTTCCCAGCACCCTTTGTCTTCCTTAGCAGGGACAGGCCTGAGGGTGGTGGTGAAGATTTCTGGAGACCTTGGCTCTTAGGTACCTGGGAAGTCTACTTTTCCCTGAGATCCTCACTTCCAGTTGCTTAATTTTAAGGAAAAATTAAAAGGGAAAGGGGCTGGGTATAATGGTGCATGGCTGTAATCCCAGCACTCGGGAGGCTGAGGCAAGGAGATCACCAAGAGTTCAAGGCCAGCCTGGCTACATCGGAAGATCAAGGCCAGTCTGAACTACATAAGGAGACCCTGTCTCTCAGTTAAAACAAACAAACAAACTATAAAGTAAATAAGGAAGGAAGTCAGGGACACCTAACACAGAGGCTGAAGAAGTCCTTTGCCTTGGAGCAGAACATCTGAAACTGCCTCTGAGATAAGGCAAACAGGTGGCCTGGAAAAGTGTGGCCACCCACCTGGATGTTTTAAGACTTTCCCCAGTGCAAGCACTTTCCCCTTAAGTGACTCCTTGACCCCATGAGTCTTCTGTTAACCTCCCTACCCCCCCACACCTAGATGTGCTGGCTATCAGTGTCCCCCCAAAAGACTTGCTGAGTGAATGAGTGTGGAATCCTCCCACCTGCAACCAGGGGCAGCCCGGCCTCGGTGCCACCAGGGGCACAGGACCAGCAGAGGAACGGGCGGGCCAAAGGTGAAGGTAGGCCGGCACCCAGGGAGTGTGATGATGCAGCCTCCAGTGCAGGCAGCTGTGAAGGGCAGGGAGACCCTGGAGCAGACTGCACAGGAGCCAGTGGCCAGCAGGTAAGGACTGCACTGACCTAGGGTGAGAGGCCAAGGTTGGTGGGGAAGCAGAGGCAGTCTGCAGTTAGGCCTGCTGTCTGCCACCCCCCATGCTACAGCTGTGGGAGTAGCCACCCAAGCCCTACCTCCAGCTCTGACGTCAGCCCTGCGCCCCAAATACCTTCCTCCCGCCGTGGCTGCATGTCCGAGAGCCCAGGGAGTGCCCAGATAGAGACAGGACCGCCACTGGGCTGGTCATCAGCCACCTTCCTGGAACCAGCTTCCGCCCCACCCACCCGGCCCACAGCAGGTGCAGCTGGGCCAGGGATGGCACTCGGGGTGGGTCCCCAGGATTTGCACTGGGTGGGGGATGCTGGGTTCACTTCCCAGAAGGAGTGTGGTAGGGGACATGGGTCAGTCCAGGTCCCCAGTCCCCTTGTCCTGCTCTCTTCCTGTTCCCCTGAACTTAACCCTTAGTGTCTGCCCTCATGTCAGAGTATAAATTCTGACTGACTGTAGATCACTGAAGCCACGCATACAGTAGGTTCTCAGTATGTTAAGCGAACAAATGAATAAAGGAAGCAGGCAGTGTCTCCCTCGTGGACCTGGCCAGCTCATGTGGGGCCTGTGGTCAGCTCATGGTAGGGAACTCCAGGCCACAAGCTCCCAGATGGGGCAGGTATGTCAGGGTGAGGGGTCTGGCCTGTGGGGTTCAGGACCAGGTCACAGAGTTGGGGTTCAGGGAGCCTCCTTCCTGCTGGAGCAGAACTGGGTGGAGCAGGCCAACAGGTTGGGTGGCATAGCCCAGCCAACACTCACCTCCAGCATAAAACCCCACTTCATGGAGCCCAGTGCCTCTCCAAGTGCCAGGCGCTCCCTCCACCACTGCCGACCCGGGCCCAGCTTTGCCAGATTGAGGACATGAGGCGACACCCAGCCCCCACACCCCTCCTGCTGCTCCTGCTCTTCCTACTGCTGAGGCTTGGTGAGTCCAGAAGTCCCTGGCTTCCTGGAGGGTCTCCTCTCCCTGCCAGGAATTCCGGCTGGGCCGCCACTTCCTGCCCCAGGGGTGGGGGCCCCAGACTAGGCAGACACACTCCAAATGTTTCACCTGGGGGTCCTGAGGCCCTGTGGCAGCAACGTGGGGCAGCAACCAGTGTACCTGGCTCTGGATTTGAAGCTCCCCCACTCATCAGATGAAGAGCTCCAGGGCCAGGAATTTAGCTCAGTGGTTCTGCCCCCTGCCTTGCAAGCGTTAAAAGTCCTAAGTTCAATTTCTGGTACCAAAAGCGGGGAAAAACAGAGCTCCATGTGTGCAGGATTTGAACTTGGGTCTCCTGGGCTCCAAGTCCCTCGACCACCATAGCTGATCCAGAAGTGGGGCTGAACACGGGCTGTCACCTAAGCTTAGGCCCCTTGGAGGCAGATCTGGGCTCAGCAAACAGCTTGGTAGCATTAGAGAGGGTGTAAGCTGCAGAGTCCCACTCCCCTGTGGACAGATAAGCAGGAACATACTGCTATGGATTGCAGGGGTCCAGCCAGGGCCCCACTTGCCAGGCCCCTCCCACATTCCTGGGTTAACCAGGCCAAGCCCAGCAGCCACTTCCCTGTCCTCATGTCACCTCCCAGGGCCAGGCCAGGTCACCCCAGACTACAGCTCAGCCAGGCTTGAGATTTTTCATTCTGGCCGGGGGGAAGGGGAGCTCACGGGGGGGGGGG